CACCACTGACCACCCAACTATATACAAAAAAAAGTAAATGTGATTCCTTGCCTTGATACACCTTAGAATCTAAGACACCAACAGCTGAAGTTTCTTTCAGTGATAAAGTATGCCCTAAACTAAAAATGCTATGGATTCCACCAAGAGAAAAGAGGAAGACATTAAAATAAAAAAATTTAAAGGTTATTTTAGGATCAAGTAGTCAAGACAACAGGCAAAAACTCTGACAGACAAGTAATGAATTTTATAAAACATAAAATAATCAACTTACACGAAGGGCTGAGGCAAAACTGTTTTTTAGGTTGGTAGATATACTCATCAGTAAAGGCTCCCTGCAAGTAATCATAGCCATTCCAGCCGTCAAGTTCCGCATCATGTGATGAGCTGCTATTCGCATTCTAGATTCCTCAGAATCCAGGGCAAAATCCTTTCTAACTATCTGTTCACAAGTAGTCATGGCAATCTTAATTGACCGATCTACCACAGGATGGACTAGCTCCTGGACAGCCCGTTCAATTGCTTGCCGCACACACTGCTTCAACTGTGGATGAGCCTGGAACAAAGGGATCTGGAAAGAGAAAAAGGGAGGCACAGATCATGTCATCAGCTTATTTAAGTGAGACAGCTAACAGTGACTCTGGTATTATTTCAATGCTATAGAAACTACAGCAGCCACAAAAAACTAACACTTCAATTTTAGCAAGCAAATTGATCATTAAGCACCTATTACTCGATTACAGACACATGACTTTCTAATTTAAAATTATGGCTGAATTGTTAAAAAGGCAATTCCTCGACAATTGGTGGTGGCACATGGCTTTAAGCCCAGCACTCAGGAGGCAGAGGCAAGTGGATCTGTGTGCGTTGGAGGCCAGTCTGATCTACAGAGTAAGCTCCAGGACAGCCAGGGCTGTTACACTGAGAAACGCTATCTCCAAAAACAAACAACAACAATAAAAAAACAAATTCTCATTGGAGCACTTGCTTCTCATGCAGAGGTCCCAGAATTTGGTTCCCAGCACTCACATGGCAGCATCACAATGGTCTGTAACTCCAGTTCCAGGAGTTCCTCAAGGACACGTGTGATTTATATATAATACATGCAGGCAAAACATTCATACACATAAAATAAAAATAAATGTTAAAGACTTTAGCTTAGAAATTCTACACACAAACTGCATTCTACAAAAAGAAATGGCTTAAGACCACGCCAAAGTGGCATGATAATGAAAGCATAAGAAAAAAATACTACAGCATAAATTAAGACTCTTTTGGCCTGTGTATGGCATAATTAAGTCATATGGGCTAGGGTAAGAAAACAAACAGGAATCCCACTCACTTAAAAACTTTTTGTTTTTGTTTTTACGAGACAGGGTTTCTCTGTATTGTTTTGGAGGCTATCGGTCCAGCCCAGCCTCGAACTCACAGAGATCCGCCTGCCTCTGCCTCCTGAGTGCTGGAATTAAAGGCGTGCACCACCAACGCCCAGCTCACTTAAAAACTATTTTTATAAGCAAAGGGATCCTATTTGTATTATATGCACTATATCTCCCTCCCCCGCCTCTCTCTCTCTCACACACACACACTCACACACACACACACATGCACATACACACACGGTTTCTTTGTGTAGCTCTTGCTGTCCTGGAACTCACAGACATCTGCCTGCCTCTGACTCCCGGAGTGCTGGGATTAAAGGCATTTGAAGAAAAAACAAAAACCCAGGGTAAAGATGGTAAACAGCAAAAGTCCAGTGGTTAAGCACTTGCTGCTCTTAAAGAGGACAAGAGGACCAATACTCGATTCATAGAAACAATCTGGTAGCTCACAATCATCTGTAACTCCAGTTCCAGGAGTTCTAATACACCTGACATACATGTGGTATACATATATACATGCAAGTAAACAATCACACACAATAAATCAATCTTTTAAACAAAGGAGGAAGGAAGGGAGGGAGGGAGGGAGGGAGGGAGGGAGGGAGGGAGGAAGGAAGGAAGGAAGGAAGGAAGGAAGGAAGGAAGGAAGGAAGGAAGGAAGGAAGGAAAGAGCAGTTTTTACTTACTGTGGGATTTAAAGTGATGTGCGGTGCCAGGCCTGCAAGAGAATAGACATTGATGTCGTGGTAGCTGTACTGTGGTTGTGGCGGGACTGTGGCTGTACACGTAGTACTGGTAGCTGGTGTTGTAGAAGTTGCTAGATGTAAAGTAAGAGATAAGAATAAGAGGACATTTGTTGACTATATGCAAAAATTAGCTGGCCATTAAATGGATCTTATGTACTTCAACTAATTGTGCCAGATTCTTGAGAACAGGGCAGTTGAGGTCACATCTTTCCCATTCTGAAAAATAACTCTACTACCTCATGAGCTAAGAGTCAATTATATAAATTTCCATCAGTGGCAGTGTTCCAAGGCACAGAAACAATTTTTGTTTGTTTTTTCTGAGACAGGGTTTCTCTGTGTAATAGCCCTAGCTGTCCTGGAACTCGCTCTGTAGACCACCAGGCTGGCCTCGAACTCACAGAGATCCACCTGCCTCTGCCTCCCGAGCGCTGGGATTGAAGGAATGTGCCACCACACCCAGCTGTACAGAAGCATTTTAAAGATAATTTACATTAGCCTTTCCCAGGCTCACGTGGGATTTGTCAGACACTAAGAAGAGGGGAATATGGTGCAGGGTGGTGGCCAGCACACATACCAACACCTCACTGTTTAATGTAACTACACGAAACACACACGTTTGCTTGACTGGGTTTTAGAAAGGGTCCCAGGCTGAGTGAGAACTAAACATGCAGCAAGTTGGCCTCAAACTCAAATCCTCGTGGCTTTAGTTTCTCAAGTGCTAGGATTATATAGACGTGCACCCCCAAATCCAGTCCTGATCATAAAACAATGTTCTCCTAGCACATATGTCTAATCGGACAAACTCTAGATTTTAAGGAATAACACAGGCTATTGTGTCATTCCACTACTTCTGATGCTTAAAACAATGTAAGAGATAAACTAGCCTGGATATGATACAAGGACAATTATTTGGCTCATATTCGCTTAAGAGTATCTTAAGAGACAGAGACAAAATCTGATAAGGTGACTACCCTTAGAAGTTACTGACTTGATAATGAGGTTTACCAAAATTTTACCTGATGTGGGATAATTAATAGTTTACTTATATGGAAATGTACCATTTGAGAAGTTTCTGGTTGGCAAAGGCTAGACTTCTGCACTTACTTGTCGTTGTGATGGCGGGCAGCTCCTCTGGCTGTTTGACGTCTTTCTTTGGAGCAGAAAGTTGCTCATCTAAGTTCTTCAGGCGATCCTTATCTTTCAGCAGGTTTCCAGGTTTGAGCTCATTGATGTCTAATGCAAGGTTCTTACAGAGCACCTCAATTTCAAACTTCAAGTTTAACTGCAAAATCCCAGTATTTGATTAGAATTTTGAAGAGCAAATTCGAGCTTTATTCATAACATGTAATACCCTCAATCCAATGCCCACTGCCTCCCTTCAATGGATTGTCTTTATCAAAAAGTTTAATCATCTTAAGGCAGAGAATTATCCAATTCTCCAACAATTTTACCTTTAAGTCATGCTCCTGGTGCAATTCAGCCAATACATTCATAATTGCCATCGTCCAGGGGTTTGGTGGTCTAAAAACCTAGAGAAAAGTTATGGTAATAAGCTAGTTCTAAATCAAAGAGTTATTTAGTATTATTTCAACACTTAAATTTATATGACTATGACAAAACACCTACAAGGGTGCATCACAGAAAAACACCGAAGGTGATACATTGTGTCTTATTAATTTCACCTAACTTTAAAAATATCTAAAACTAGGGTTTGAGAAATGGCTCAGAGGTTAGGGGCACTGGCTGCTGGCTGCTCTTCCAGAAGTCCGAGTTCAATTCCCAGCATCTGCAATGGTGCTCACAACCATCTATAATGGGATCTAGTGCCTTCTTCTGGTGTGCCGGTGTACACGCAGTCAGAGCACTGTATACATAATAAATAGATTAAGTCTTTAAAAAGAATCTAGGACCAAAAGAAATAAAATAAAATTCAATTAAGAAAAAAATCTAAGACCTATGAAGGAAGATTTACTGAAATAGCTCCATGTGCATAAGAAGATAACTATAATCTCTTTTTGTGTTAACAATATCTCACAATTAACCATGAAGAACATTTACTCACCAGACTACGGATACTAGACTCCAGAACTTTGGCAACAAAGGGCACTACATAAAGCAACTCTTGTTGTCCTTTAACGTAAGCCTCTAGCAGCAAAGATTTCACATCCAAGTCCTAGAAATTTAAAACAAAACTTTTGAGAAACAGAGTCTGTTCCAGAAGCCTGGGGAGGAGTGGGGGAACGCTATAATTTAAAACAAAAATCCCAGTAAAAGTATGTCACTCACTAAGTTATCTCTCAAAATACAACCCATACATTATCTGACCCTTGCCTGAGAAAATAAAAACAAAGGGGTGCAAGCACACCTCACTGGCTTTTCTATGTCCTAAAAGAGCCCAAGAGACCATGAACACAGAATTAACAATTCTAAAATGGTCCAAGTCTTGTAAAAGCCCAGTGATAATCAAAGCATTCTTTCTAGTCAACTTTTACATGTGTATATCCATCTTAAAACTCACCGTGTGCAAGATGGGTTTATTTTTAGCTAATGTAATCATTCCTAGCCAATGTCCCAAGTTCTTCAGCAAAGAACGATCTGAGAAATTGGCCGCAGCTTTATCAGAGGTCAGCAGCACCTACAATAGTACAGGATTTATGTAAGCTTTCAATTCTGAGAATATACCCATTGTAGATCTATTCCATGTATCATTTAAGGAGCTCAAATGGTGGAATACTAATCTACCACGTGCAAGACTCTGGGTTAGAACACAGCATGACACAGTAAACAAATAAATGGTTATTATTGGAATTTGCCTCAGTACATGGAAACTTCCAAAGATTGAAATAATCCTTACTATAAGAATAAAGGCAGAACACAATGTCCCTTAACTCCTTAAAGCAACAGCAAAATGGCATTAAGTCAGCTGTACAACCAGGAGCCAAGAATTCTTTTTGCACTACAGCGTAACCTAGAACGGGGAAAATTCCCATCATAGGTTTAAATATAGTGCTACATCCTAAGCCAGACCCAAGTTACTCAATAATGGATGATCTCAGCTGTATTTGGTTTACACAAGAGTCTGCCTGACCTTATACTGTAAAGAATCCCAGAACCAAAGCTATTTCACAAATAGGTCTGGAATCTAGATAACTACCCTTGACCAGCAGAATGGTTTTGTGTAAGACTATTTCTAGTACTTAAAACCAAGACAGACAACTGAGAACAAGCTAATCTCCAAAGATATGAGGGAGAAGTGGTTGAGCACTACCACATCAACAAGACGATATGCCACAAATATACTGAATAGTTCTATAAGTAATATAAGTAAAATTCTAAAGCCATACATGGAAAGATGAAAAATTCTAAAAGGAGATTACACTTAAGCAATACACCAGGTTATGCCTAAAAAATTAAATTCTAGGGCCAGCTAGATGATTCAGCAAGTTAAAATGTTGGCCACCAAACCAAATAATCTGGTGTTTAATATTCTGAGTTTAAGCCCCGAGAACCACATTATAGAGAACTACCTCCTGAAAGTGTGTACAAACACTTGGACAAACATAATTTAAAATAAGGTTTATAGAACCCAGTAGTTCAACATCTTATACAAAAAATCTACAGCCCTTTCCATGGGTATCTAACATAGATAACAAAGCAAAAAAAGAACAAATTATCCCAAGTTCTACCTGCTAAAATCAACTTAAAGCAAATTATTAAAGGATGTATTAAGAACTCTTACTTTAATGTTTCTGTAGGTCTCATTCAGAACCATCTTGTTAAATTCTGGATTCTTCAATGTGTCAAGAAAGTTTGAATACAGGCTATGAAAGTTTGGCTCAATACTGACTCTTTTCATAACTAGATACTGGGAAACCCAAGGCATAAACTCTTCCTTCACGGTTTCTTTAAGCTCTTCCACCTAAGTCAATCAACAAGACACAGGCAATAAGAATTAGTACAAATACAAAAACAGAATGAAGCCTGGGTTCTATGAATCACAACACACAGCATTTGACTCATATAAACTCCATGATACTGAACTACTAAGGTGGGTCTTTCCCCATATTTTGACAAGTACTCCTCAGATTTTTTTTTAAAAGATTCCCAAGTGTTGGCATTATATATAAGCTTACATCTCAAGGCCCAGCATATTAAACTCATATATATATTTGAAGGCAGGGTCTCTATGTAGTTTGGAACTCACAATGTAGACCAGGCTGGCCTCAAACTCTCAGAAATCCTCCTGCCTCTCTCAATTTCACCATGTGTCACCATGCTCAACCTAAAACCCACTTTTTATGATAATCTTCTCAAAGCTGTCATTTCAATAAGAGCTATCTTAATCTTTACTCTCAAGGCAAGCATTGTTTCTTATGCTTCTCAAAATGTTCTTCACAGTATTTCCTGGGTCTAATAAACACTTAAGTTTCTGAAATAAAATAAAAAGAAACCTTCTATCAAGGTTGGGCATGGTGGTAAGGACCTTTAATCCCAGCACTTGGGAGACAGACAGAAATTAGAGGCCATCATGGTTAACATAGTGAGCTCCAGGCTGGCCAAGACTACTTAATAAGACCTAGTCTCAAATAAGCAAAACAACAACAACCACCTCCTCCAAAAACAAACATTAAAAAAACCCAAAACAAAAAATTTAACACCAAAAATAACACTTCTCTAATCAGGAGAGCATGACATTATTTCAAAAAGGCTACGACTCAAGGCTAAACGATGTATCTCAAAGACATGCTTCTTAATTCCTACAAAAATAACCTCTCTTTTTCTTTTTAAAAGACGTGACACCACGCCCAGCTAAAACTTCTCCTTGTGCTTAAGCACTTGTCCCACTTTGGCTACCTGAGCAGCTCAGACTCCAGATCTACACCATGCACCTGACGACTGAACTAAAAGGGTCTTTAAAAAAAAAATCCCTCTATCCATCAAGGAAAAGGAGAGGACATTTCATAAACTATTATGCCATGCTTACCTTCTGGGTCATATTTGACTGTGAGAGATTGTTGAAGATAAAAGCAATTTTCTCTTGGATATTTTCTGGGGGCTCTACAATTCTCTCAGTTTGATCTGTGGCCACAAGCAATGTATCTATATTTGTTGTATTTATAGAAGGCTAGAAGTAATAAAACACATTAGGTTAAAAAAGTTGAGCTGCTTCATTGGAAAATAACATAAAATAGAAGTGCTGGCAAGATGACTCAGAGGCTAAAAGCACTTGCCTCCAAACCCAAAGGCCTGAGTTTAAAGCCTGGAAACCACATGCCAGAGGAGAGAACTGACTCTAAGTCCTCACACCATGGCACACACACACACAAAATAAGTAACAAAATATAAAGGTAATGAAACATGTTTGAAATGAAAAGATTACAGAGATTGCATTAGCAAGAAAAACACATGAGGTATAACTACACTGGTAAGACAGTTAAACTCATTGTTAAAATATTACATAGTGGTCTCTAGGGAATACAGGGAGAAATACTGATCTTCTACTACATGTTTACACTATCAGATCCTGAAAAAGCAGGAAAACCTACTTACTGGCACATCTTTCTTAAAGCTGACTCCCGTTGGCTTGGTGACTGTAACTGTTTTAGCAACAGTGGTGGTTGTTGAGGTGGTTACCATTGTGTTAACCTGACCCGCAAGAGGAGCTTTTGCTGGAACCTGGGCCTGAGCCTGGGCCTGAGCCAGTGCAATACTTCCAGGGGTCGTGATAGAACCCTGCATCTTCACAGGAGGATCTCGAGATTGTTGTCCATACTCGATGTACTATATGGGTACAGAGAGAAGCATATTGAGGCTTCGCAATAGAAATGGGGAGGCAGTTGGGCAGTGGTGGCACAAGCCTTTAATCCCAGCACTCAGGAGACATAGACAGGCAGATCTCTCTGAGTTCAAGGCCAGCCTGGTTCTTCAAAGAGAGTTCCAGGACAGCCCCCAAGAACTACAGAGAAACCCTACCTCGAAACAACAAAACAAAGAAAAATAAAAAAGAAAGAGAAAGGAAGGAAGGAAGGAAAAAGAAATGGGGAGGTAGAGGTGTTTTGAGACAGGTTTCTTTGTGTAACAGTCCTGGTTGTCCTGGAACTCACTCTAGAGACAAGGCTATCCTTGAACTCACAAAAATCCACCTGCCTCTGCCTCCCAAGTGCTAGGATTAAAGGCCTGTGCCACCACCACCATACAGTTAAAATGACAAATTTTTTTGTCTTATATTTCCTTTAATTATGAAAGGATAATAATTTCAAAGTTTTAGTGTGTCTCCCTTAACCAACTCCAAACTGGTACCAATATATAAAAGAATACTGTGAACTCCTGTAGAGAAAATATCAATATGTTTAAAGTGCTTTAAACTAGAATGGTAAAACAACGCTAAAAAGTAGTGTTAGGCCAGGCAGTGGTGGCAGCTGTTTGTAATCCCAGCACTCGGGAGGCAGACAGGCAGATCTCTATGAGCTCAAGGCCAGTCTAATCTATAGAGAGGAGTCCTAGGACAGGATACAAAGCTACACAGAGAACCCCCTGTCTCAAACAACAAGACACACTCAAAAGAATGTAGTCTCAGGGGGCTGGAGAGATGGCTCAGTGGTTAATAGCACTAGCTGTTTTTCTAGAGGACCAGGGTTCAATTCCCAGCACCCACATAGCAGCCCACATCCGTCTGTATCTCCAGTTCCAACGTCACACAGACATACATGCAGGTAAAACACCAATGAGAACATAAATAATAGTAAGAAAAAATAAATGATTAAGAAGTAGCCTCAGATATCTATAAAATTTATATCAAGCTTCTTTATTGGACACTGGCTTCAAACATACTACAGCGTGAGTTGTATCTCAGTAAGAGTACTTGCCCAGGAAGCCCCAAGAACTGCACTGCAGCTCAATTCCAAGAGCACACAGAAACATGAAAGACAAATGACACAAAAGTTGTCCGCTGACATGTCCATATACACATAAATAATTTTTAAAAGTGATTATTAAAAATCTTAATCTTAGTAGCATTTCTCACAAATCTCCAAGCAGATCAAAGAAGATAAAACCTCTGCCCAGCTGACGAATGTTACAGATCAGGGCTCTTACCTCCTGCAAATGGTGTGGAAACTGCATAAAGTGACTAATGGAAGCCAAGTGCTGACAATACTGAGGATAGTCCTTCAATCTGCAAACACAGAAATAAATAAATGGATGAATGTTTGTTCATCATTTCATGTAAGAACAGAAAATGGTTTTCTTCAAACAATACTATGTGAAAATCACACAACCCAGAACTTAACAGCAGGAGCACAAGATCAAGGCCAACCTAGCTTTATCTGAAAAGGGGGGGGGGGGGGGGACAATGAGAGTGGTGGTGGAAAAATGCCTTTTAATCCTTTTGGGACACAGAGGTAAGCGGAATTTGAAGTCAGCCTGGTATACAGAGTGAGTTCCAGGACAGTCAAGGCTGTTACACAGAAGACACCCTGCCTTGAAAACCAAAGGGGGGGGGGGGGTAACAAATAAAAAACTAAAAAACATTAATAACAAAGAGATGAACACCAAAATTGGGGAGGAGGGCAATCATTAATATGATACCACATTAGAAAAAACACTGCACAGGAATTGTCACACAGGCTTGTAATCCCAGCACTTGAGACAGTGAGGGAAGAGAATTGTGATTTCCAGGATAGAATGTGTCAATCATTAAAAAGGGATTTGAAATTAAGTAGAATGAAATAAATAAAGCCATTACTTCTGCTTTTTAAAATACCACATTTTATTACCCCCCAAAAAATGGACTGGGGGTACAGCTCAGTACACACTTAATGTAGAAGTGTGTTCATGTCTGAATGATATATACTAGTTACTGTTCCACACAGTGAGAAGGTACTACCCAGAACTAAGAAGATTGAGAATAGAAGATACCAAGAGTCAGATGACGGTTGGGAAAGATGTATGTCAGTGTACCTACTTACCTATTTTTAAATCTATCTAGTGCAGCAATACCAAAATAATACATTTTCGATCCAAAAGGCTTCCGTAAAGCTTCAAGAACATATCGCAGGGCCAGACCCAATGCCATGTAAGTGACCAGTCCTTTTTCAATTATGCCACCAAACAGGCAGGCTGTTATATGTAATTCTTTATCAGGGTACTGGGGGAAAAAACGATACTCTTCAAACAAGTTCCTCAGCATACAGTTAAAAACTTCTCTCTCCCTTTTTATAGTAGAGTCTTTAAATCTCTGTAGCATTTCTAGTACCTAGAAAAGCAAGATAAACAATACAGATATACAAACATTACCAAGAGTCCTATACATATATCTTTTTTTTTTTTTTTTTTTTTTTTTTTTGGTTTTTCGAGACAGGGTTTCTCTGTGGCTTTGGAGGCTGTCCTGGAACTCGCTCTGTAGACCAGGCTGGCCTCGAACTCATAGAGATCTGCCTGCCTCTGCCTCCCTAGTGCTGGGATTAAAGGCGTGCGCCACCAACGCCCGGCATATATATATATATCTTAATAGCAGAATTACTAAGGAAAGCATGTCCAGTAAGAAAACAGAGCTTAAGACAAACATTAAAAGTACAAAAGATACATAGAAATACTACAACACTTTAAGGGACTCTCTAAAATCCTTGAAAGGCCACAATGATTTCCAGTTTATGAAAACATGAGTAATTAGTACTCCTAGACACTCACCTCATCAACAGACATGGTTGGATGTGGTGGGTGATTATATATTCGCTGGAAATAGCTGTTTGCTTCATCATCTATCTCTTTACTGAAGTGCTGATTGGCCTCTGGCCACACCTGAGACAAGTCAGCTGTTAGGGGGAAAAGGGCTATCAGTAAACACAGGTAAGTCTTTCTTCAATTCCCCCAAAGAGCTAGAGACTGATAAGGTTCTAACTATTGGGGGGTAAAAAATAAAAGAAACAAGTATCTAATGATTGATTTTACTATTAGAGTTGTCCAGGCAGACAAGAACAACTTCTTAACAAATGGCTTTACTTAGTCCTACTACAGTATTTCTAAGTCATACTGCAGTAAAAAGTTCACTAGGCTATACAATACTTAACACAATCACCATTAACAAAGCCCACTCATGGTTAGCATATCTTTACTGCTTTGTATTAAAAACATGAATTAACATAACAGTATGACACATACAAGAACACAAAGCATGCCACAAAACATTAACATTCAGACAAACCTTTCACACTAACATTTTCAAGTCAGTTTCTATTATTATTATTATTATTATTAATTATTATTATTATTGGGAGACAGGGTATGTATCTCTGGCTGCCCTGGACCTCGGTACATATCTCTGAATGGCCTTGAACTCAGAGATCCATCTGCCTCTGCTGGAATTAACAGCCTGCACCACTAATACCTAGTCTTTTTTTTTTTTTTCCTTGAAAAATTTTGTGTGTGTGAGTGTTTTGCCTGCAAGTATGTCTGTGCACCATGCACATACCTGGTACTCTCGGAGACCAGAAGAGAATGTCAGATCCTCTGGAACTAGACTTACAGACAATTTTAAGCTGTTACATGGGTATTGGGGATTGAGCCTAGTCCTCTGAAGAGGACCCTGTGTTCTTAATCACCTTTGTTTGTTTTGGGGGGGGGGGGGTTGTTTGCTTTTGTGAAGAAAAAAAAAACTAGAACTAGTAGTAGGTAAACATTGTTAGCTCAGGCTACCTACAACTTGCTTCTGTTGCTCAGGTACAGGAAAAACAAGTGTATGCCACCTTACTAGCTCTTTCAATTCTTCTACCAGCAATAAGACATATGAGTCATTCAACTATGCTGATGGGTATATATTGTGGTGTTTCTTTGGGGTAATATAACTAAAGAAGTGAGCCTTAAAAAATGATCTTAAATATGGTGGCATATATTACACCATGATACTTATGAAGTAAATAAAATATATACTGGGAAGTTAATACGTAATTTACTTCATAACCTTGACTAACTGAACAGAAATCTAAAATTATATGGGCTATTCCTCCATTCATTCTGCTCCTGACCTCTTTCCACCACTTGAGAAAGGGTCTCTATATATAGCTCTGGATGGTCTGGAATTCACTATGTAGATCAGTCTGGCCTCGGAAATCCACCTTCCTCAAAGTGCTGGGAATTAAAGTCATGTGACACCACAACCGGGGCTCCTGACTTCTTGAAGGCCACACCAATAAATCTGTATGTGACATGTGAGAAAAATTTGCAGACAAAACGTTTCCCTTTCCCATACCAACTTAGTTTCATGGTAACACCCTAAGGACACCACCTCTTACTATCATTTTGTTTTGGCAGTCCAGAGTACAAATAGAGTTATAGCTTGAATTTTATTTGTGTATTCCCACAGATCTAAGGATATGCATCATCCGATGACGACTCTTATCAACATGTAAATGGTTTTGTCTTCATAATTCTAAGGACAACATACAAAATTGTTTTACGTGTATCAGTCACACTTCACAATCACAGACAACACTACCACTTACAAGGTTTCATCTTACTCTGCTGGAATGTAGGCTGGTTGAGTCCAGAGGTGCCCAGTTTCCTCTGTACAAAAGGGTCGTTGTTCACTGCAGGAAGTCCAAGGCCCCCAGTTCCTATACCAGTCAGGCTTCCTGTGCCAAGACCACTTACTAAAGAGAACGAAGGCAGCCAGAAGTTCAGTCAGTACTTACGTTATTCCCTTCAAAGAGAAGCATTAAGTCACCGTGTGCACATGGTGCGTGCATGAAGGCATGAGTGCCATGGCACAAGTGTAGAGGTGGAGGACAAACTGTGGAACTGTGCTACTCCCATGGCAGGATCACACCCACACCTCCAGGCTCTCAGGGCCAAGGGTCTTTTCAATGAGCCATTTCACTGGCACCATCATTTATACTATTAAAAATGTAATTTTAAACTGTTCTCAAAGAACATATACCAGCTAACTCAAGATTGCAATGATTAAAAATTAAAGAATTTCATGCAACCATTTAACAGTTATCACAAGCTAGGATTTCTCTACTTATTCCTCAACTCTAACCCCAAAACTAAGCAAAGAACAGTAAGAACCACAAAATCTAATAGTTACATCTTTGCTAAGAAGGCTTTTAAAAAAGCCAGTGGTAAATTAATCATCAGGTCTAGAACCATACAGCAGTAATTAGGTAACTTCATGGGTTTGTGTCCTAACTTACAGCCTATACTAAAGAAGTATGTATAAGAACAAAAATATAAACTTTACTTCACTATAAAATTATTTAATAAATCAGTAATAAGGAATTTACAAAGTTTTAAAGATTTTTTCTATGTGGTTATAGTATAAGTCAGACAGAAAAGCTTGAATTTGATATGTATAGTCTTTTCTACCTCTGTGCTTCATAAGGCTGAATCCATACCATTACCATGTGACTGGTCCAGTAGGAAATCCCCAGCACCAAAAAATATCATAGAATGTAACAAATAACTAAGTGGGCACCATGCTACAAATACTATCATTTGGTAATACAAAATTCTTCCTATACAACTCAACTTAATTTTTCTTCTAGCCAACTTGGGATGTTGAGTAATAGCCTTCACATTTTGCTAAAGTACCTTTCTTTTTCCCAGTAATTCCAAACCCTTTAGCAGATAGTAACTAGGGCATAATAAAATTTACAAATTAATTCCAACTGTGCCCGACTTCCCCTTACCTGGAAGTTGTGATGAAAGTCCTCCAATACCACTGAATGCCGTTGTTTGATTTGGGGTTGAAAGAGGTGGAAATGCTTTTGCTGGTGACTGAGGGGTACTGAATGCAGAACCCAAATTTGGAGGGAAACCCTGCATACTCTGGGTGTGAGGGGCAGCTGAACCACCTATACTAAGAGATGCCATTCCAGCAAGAGGATCAATCTAAAGAAAAACATAACAATGTATTACACATGCTTTGAGGAAAGGCAGATATGGCACAAATATAGTAAGTAATTCTTGGCAATACTTCTTTATGCTCTTAAGCACTTTAACACTCATACAATTATAATAATGAAAGTTATCAAGTCTGCTAGTCATTTTTCATACTATGTAAGTAACAGATTTAAAGATTTAAGCCCTAGCCGGGCGGTGGTGGCACACACCTTTAATCCCAGCACTCAGGAGGCAAAGGCAGGCGGATCTCTGTGAGTTCGAGGCCAGGCTGGACCGACAGCCTCCAAAACAATACAGAGAAACCCTATCTCGTAAAAACAAAAAACAAACAAACAAACAAACAAAAAAAACTAATTAAGCCCTGCCATAAAGTACCAGAGCTATAGGAGGAAGCTACAAAACTAACAAGATAACTGTCCTTCCTATTGCTTGACCACTAATTTTTACTAATAACATTGGGTACACATTACATTATTAAAACTAATTTCAACCTGTTGCTTTACTTACAACATAGTAAAAGTATTAGAAATTATCTTTCAGTTAAAACACATTGTCAGATTTTATAAATTTTAAGGTCAACAAGATCACCTCTGATTTTCAAAAGCAGCAAAAACAAGATGTGCTACTCACACAGATTTTTAAAAAAAATTCTAGTAACTACTCCAAATATTTTAGTTGTGGCACTACTTCACACCTTCATGAGTATGGGAAATGACAAGCAAATGTCTTTTGTAAAGTAGACGCTGAAGAGTCACTAAGTGCCTTCCTTCCTTAAAACCCCAACCTGCCACTTAGTGCATCTGAAACAGAAGTGGAATGTGTTGCTCCCAAAGAGAATGGGGCGGCGATGTCAGGGAGTAACTGAAATGTACCTTGTTTTTAAAAGAGCAGTTCAGTTGAGAGCTGAAGAGCCCACTTATAACAAGTCGTTAGGCTCTAGTACTGCTGCTTGGCCCGTGAAGCTACAAACAAGACACATCAGATTCAAAGGCAGTGCTTATTTTCTCAAGAGTGTAATTCTAATTATAAAAAGAAACCCTTTTCTTTTCTCTCAGTCATGTGTTTATTTGACTATTAAAGTCTATCCTCAGCTATAATGCCTACAGAAGGATCTCCTTTAAAATACGCTACACATGCAGGTATCTGAAGTATAATAAACTCAAGTTGTTACTGAAGATGCAGAGGAGGCTTGATCTATTCTGAATCTACGAACAAATGGAGATAATAACTGTAGTAGCATTTCATTACCTGAACAGGAGAAATGGCATCTAAGCTGCTAGCACTAGGAGGGCGACCTTTTGGCATAACTCCAGGGGGTGGCTGTCTGGCCTTATTCATTACATTACTGCAGTTGGCTACCATGGTGAGGATGGTCTCTGATAACTCCTGAGAAACACTCCTACAAGGAAAAGGAAAATGAAATACGCTTGCTATTGACCAGAATACCTAAAGGCATCAATATGATCATCTAATAAGATATTCATTCTGGAGCACATGGATACAATTATATCTCAGCCCTTGCCTCTGCGATTTACCACAGCACTTTCTGAACAGTAGATTATCTTCAAAACTTACGGAAAAAAATCGTACTTAAACAAAGACATGTTGTACTAGTGGCATTAAGGAATCGGGGCAACACACAAAGCAGAACATGCCTATAATCTCGCAGCCAGGAGGCTCAAACAGAAATACTGCTTATCTCCGGGAGTTTATGACTAGCCCAGCTAGTAAGATCCTATTTCTTAAAAATGACAATAGTAATAAACACCTATACTCAGAAAACTTTGGAAAGCACTTATGACTTCTATGAAGTCAACAGTAGTGGACAAATGCAGCAAAACTACAAAAAAGGAATTGACATATAAAATCTCCCAATTAAATACTAGTGAATGACTCAACATCATACTGAAAATATGTAAGTACATATGAGATCACATACCAAGAGAATAAAAAACAATTCACACAGCCTTACCAAATAGCACAAAGGACTTTGACAAAACCCTTTCATAATAACCATCACATAAACTGGGCTAACAACTGTTAATCCCCAGACTAGGAAGCCGGGGCAAGAAGGTTGTTTGAGTGGTTAGAGGTCAGCCCTGTGAACATGAGTTCTAGGCCAACCTGTGCAACACAGTGAGCCTTATCATCCAGAAGACAGAGGAATTCAACCTGAAAAAGGAAACCTATGACAACCCACAGGTATCAACATAGTAAAGCACATAAACCTTTGCCCTGAGTCTGGAAGAGGACAATGAGGCATTTCCATCATGTAAGACAAGAGCAACAATGTTCACAGGGGCCAGTGAGGTGGCACCTGCTGCCAAGCCTAATGACTGGAACCTGCATGGTGGCAGGAAGAACTGGCTCCCGAAAGCTGTCCTCTGACCTTCACCCCTTTGCTCTCAAGTCCACTTATACAGAGATGTATACACACACAATACATTTTGATAATTGCTTTAATCAGCAAAGGACATGTTTTGTATACCAAAAATACCATAAAACAAAATAGTCAAAGAACTAAAATACAAAGACATCCCAGTTCATGGACTGGAAGTCTTAATTTTATTAGGATGACAATTTTCTATGAACCTACTTTCTACAAAATCTTATCTTATACATTACTTCTGGATAAATCTCAACTATTTGCTTGAAAACAGGCCTGTAAGGCCTAACTATGAGTTGAAGATGAAACACTCTCATTGTGATCCCAGAGCTGCTTTGCAATCTGCAGAAATGTACCAAGTGACCTTGAAAGTCATACAGAAATTCAAGGAACTTCAAAAAGAAAATTCGAAGTCCTTTAATAGCTTTTAATTAAGACAGTATGACACAGCAATAAGGAGTCAAAATATGTATTTCAAGACAGAATCAAAGCCCATAAATAAACCCATACAGCATGACCTTTTTGAGAACACAAACCAAAGAAATTATATTTTCATTTAGCAGTGGTGCTAAGACACACTGCTAATGTTATAGTGACTTGTGACTAAAAACCAACAGATTTCCTCTTCCTTTATTCATTCCTCTTCACCCCTACTTGTTTCCAGACAATGTCTATTTTCCTTGGGGACCTGACCTCAGCACCCCAGTGTCATTCCTTCAAATCTTACTTTCTCCAAATCAACAGTCACTAAACATAGTTTTTTGATTGGTTGGATTGGTTTTTACAGGCAGGGTCTTTCCACAAAGCATTGGCAGGTCAGGAATTCAATCATGAAGAATATGCTGGCCTCAAACCCATGATAATTCACCATCTACCTACTGAGTGTTGGAGTTATGGTCATGTACCATCATCCCAAGTCTGGCCCAATAAAGTCATTTCCAAGTACATTCTTACCCTGCACAAGCCTGCAGACAAGCCAACATTGTTGCTAGAGTTTCAGCAGGAAGTTGAGCACTCTTCGGCTGATCTTTCTCTGGGGCAAGTCCACCCAAAATAGAAGGGCATCTTCTCTTTAAAAAAGTCATGCATGCTTGTATAAAAGGCTCCTTTAAGAAAAGAAAGAAAAGGCCTTAGTGTACATTACATTTTTCTTAAATGCTTTCAAATCAAAGAACTAAACAATGTAACTACCATCTACAATAACCAATAGTAAAATGTGATTTTACATGTCATTATAAAGGGGGCTTCTTGGGATACGGATGTGGCTCAGAGGTAAAGCAATGGTGTAGCATTCCTTTTTTTCTTTAGACATTTTAGCCACCAAATTTTTAAAGAATGAGCAATTCCTGCTTACTGCTTACCCCATGTTCTCTTATTTTATCTGTTAGCCACTTGTCAAGTTTGAGGTATTCACGCCGTGAAGCAAGTGCAGCAAGGTCAATAACAAAGGCAAATGGAGTGCCATTTAGCAGCATTGACAAGGCCTAAAGCAGAACATTTACAAAGTCAGGTAATAACTATTTCTTTGTACTATTTTCTACTTCCTGTTTGTAGCATACAAGTCAATTAACAAAAAAAAATCTATTTCCTTTGTTGGTTTTTTTTTTTTTAAGGAAGTACTCTATTTAGAATTAAGGCCCCATTTTAAAGGTCAACACATGACAGTCTTCATATATAACTACTTGGCTTTTTTTCAATTAAAGGTATCAAGAACAAAGCAAGAGTATAACTAATGACCCTTTCCCATTTTTTTTAGCATCTACATGCAAGTTTAACATAACCTAAACAGAGTTACATCACTGATATTAACATGGTGATAAATGACACTTAGTAACAGAAGATTGTAACAAATTTTCTAGAGTTGAAATTAACCTACTTTCTACAAAATTATACCTCCATATTACTAATGACTAAAGCTCATTCATCACTTTTTTAAAAAATAGTCTTGTAAGGCTGTTTACACAGCTTTGTGGCAGTTTGCCTACCAAGTCTAAGTCCCTGATATTCAATTGTGAATACCACTAAAACAATCAATCAAACAAACCAGTCTTTATCTGAGTCAGACCAATCAAAACTAAATGTTATGTTTACCATTCTGTTACCTTTCAATGCACAAAGCAAAATTCTAAATCTTAAACAAGCTAGTTACATGTAAAATATTCCTACTACATGTATATTACATTAAGATGTACTAATCATTAGTAAACCGCTGTTGCTGTATTTCTCTAAAATCACCTTCAAGTCCTGGGCCACGTCAAGTATTCGAGACAATTTGGCCTGATCATATTGTTCTCCTCTCATGTACCATTCTGCCATTGCATGCATTATAAGTTGGCGAATTGATGGCGACTGTCCCTAAGAAAAAGGGGAGGTGGGAAGGTTAAATGGCAACCCTGCCAGCTATTTGATAAATATTATTACATATGCCTAGCAAATTTTCCATGTACTGCTTTTAAAAAAGAAGTATCAGTACAGAGACTAATAAGCTCAAGGTCAATAAGTATGTAATTATGGTAACAATCTTTACATCATCCCAAACCTAGTCAAGTACTCCAAAAACTGTTTTGCTATGAGCATGGAAATCTTGTTATTTTCAAACATGAAGTCTCAAACATAATAACCAAATGCACGGATGTGTGCCTATAATATCATCATGCAGTGTGTTAAGAGTTTTTGACTACTATAAGTGTTTGTATTTGATACATCAAGAGACCCTGCAATAAAAAAAACTCAAAACACACCACCATCAACAAAAATTCTAAGGAAGGCTAACTTGGCATAGTAGTACACTCCTGAAATCTTAGCACTCAAGCGTTCCCAGCCAGGCAAACATTCTCATTCTCTCATTCAATAAAAAATACCATTTCAAGCTATCTTTGGGATGGGGAATACAGCTGACCTGATAGAGTGCTTCCTTAGCACACTCAAAAGCCCTGGGTTTAATCCTCAACACCACAGTAACCCAGGAATCCTAAACTGAAAGTTATCTTACTACGTAGTGGTTTCCAGTCTAGTCTGGAATACACATGACTCTTTACCCCAAAACAAAATAAAGATTCATTTGTGAATTTCCTAATTTATTGCAGAAAGCAACATCAAGACCTTTTGCTTTCATAGTAACTATGTAAGCTCTTCATTAATGTCAAAATGTGTCACAGCAAGTAGCAATTTTTAGGGATGCTGAATATTAATCTAGCATCCTTGCTCTCCAGTACTTTTTATAGAATTGACTATAGGATTCTAAAAGATAAAATCTGCTTGATGACAATAAATTGGTCTTTAGAAGAGAGACTTTTTAAAAGTGTGATACTTATCTTGTATATCTTGTATGATACTTAGATTTATTTAGCCTATGAAGGATTTGCCTGCAGGCGTGTCTTGTGCATCATGTGCAATGACTGGTGACACTCAAGTCCAGGAGGACTTTTGGCTCCCCTAGAACTGGAGTCACACATGGCTGTGAGCATCCATGTGGGTGCTGGGAACTGAACCCAGGGCCTCTAAGAGCAGCGAGCAATCTTTAACTGCTGAACTACCACTCCAGCCTTAAAACACTGAGGTTTTAAAGATGCCAATAAATGCAATGGAAAACTGATAAGCAAATTAGTTGTCT